GGGGCAGGCAATACTGGGGGGCGCATGGCACTGGAGGGGTGGAGGATTTGGGGTGCTGATGGCTCCGTGGGTCAGGCAGAGCTGGGGGTTCTGGTGGCCCCAGTGGCTTGGGGGTCCTGGTGGGTCAAGCAGAGCTGGGGGGTTGCGGTGGCCCCAGCAGCTCGGGGGTCCCAGTGGCCCTGTTGGTCATGGGGTCTGCCCCCGCAGGTGCTGTATGTCAGCACCCTCTTCCCCTACCTCGTCCTCTTCTGCCTCCTGGTCCGGGGGCTGCTGCTTGAGGGGGCCCCCGAGGGCATCCGCATCATGTTCACCCCCAAGGTGAGGCCCTGCCCCAGGGACCCCCAGCCCTGCCTGGATCGGCCCTGGTTGCCCTGAGCCCACTGCGTCCCCGTCTTTCCCCACAGGTGTCGGTGTGGGGGACAGCCCAGGCCTGGCGGCAGGCAGCCACGCAGGTCTTCTTCGCGCTGGGGCTGGGCTTCGGCAGCGTCATCGCCTACGCCAGCTACGGCGCGCGCCGCAGCGACTGCCACCGCGACGCCGTGCTGGTGGCTGGCCTCAACGCCCTCACCTCCCTCCTGGCCACCCTCGTTGTCTTCGCCGTCCTGGGTGCCCGCGCCACCCGCCGCACGCAGCACTGCCTCCGCAGGTGGGGGGGTGCCCCGTGGTTGGGGTCCCTGCACAGAGGTGGGGTACCATGCCCGGGTGTTGCACCCGGTGCGGGACCCCCGTGTCCCTGCGGCGACGCCGGCGCTCCCCTTGTCTTGCCCCCCTCCAGGAACGCAGAGCTGGTGTCGCGAGCGCTGGCGGTAGGGGAGCTGCCCGAGACCGCCCGCCCCCCTGGGAACCTCACGGCCCTGCCAGCCCCCCAGTACAGCGCCTGGCTGCGGGGGCTGCCCCCAGCCCTGCGGGATGCCCTGGGTGTCACCGACTGCCGCCTGGAGGAGGAGATGAACAAGGTGATGCCGGTGACAAGCTGGACACCCCCTGGGGTTGGGGTCCCCCAAACTGTACCCCCTCCTCAAACCTGTCCTACATCCCACCCCAGCTGGTGGCACAGCTGGGACCAGGGGGCTCCCCTGGGCAGGGCAAGGGGACCCCCGAGTCTGTCCCATCCCACACCCTGGGTGATACCCCCCAGACTGGTCGAGGGGTTGCCCTTGCACCATCCTCCATCCCAAAACTGGGGTGAGGGTTCTGACCCCCACCCTCCTTGCCTCAGGGAGTGGAGGGCCCAGGCCTGGCCTTCATCGTCTTCACAGAGACGCTGACGCTGCTGCCGGCGGCGCCACTCTGGTCGACCCTCTTCTTCCTCACGCTGCTGGGGCTGGGGCTGGGCACCATGTTGGGCACCGTCCAGGCTGTCCTCACACCTCTGCTTGATGCCTTCCCTGTCCTGCGCCGCCGCCGTGCTCTGCTCACTGGTATGGCTGCGGGGGGACAATGGATGGGGGCAGGCAGGGATGGGAGGGAGCCCCCCCCAAACCGCTGCTCTGCCCCTTCAGTGCTGTGCTGCGCCGGGGGCTTCGTGCTGGGGCTGCCCTTTGCCCAGCGCTCTGGCAGCTACTTGGTGGCCGCCTTCGATGACTACGTGGCCACACTGCCGCTGCTGGCTGTGGCCGCCTGCGAGGCCGTGGCCGTGGCCTGGGTCTACGGGGCTGAGAGGTGAGGCGGGGGGAAGACCCTGACC